GTAACATACCAGCATTAGGATAACATACCAGCATTAGGGTAACATACCAGCATTAGGGTAACATACCAGCATTAGGGTAACATACCAGCATTAGGGTAACATACCAGCATTAGGGTAACATACCAGCATTAGGGTAACATACCAGCATTAGGGTAACATACCAGCATTAGGATAACATACCAGCATTAGGGTAAGATACCAGCATTAGGATAACATACCAGCATTAGGATAACAGAGTACAAAAGCTTCAGTTGATCTACTGACAGTTTGAATGAACGGACGCATCTCAGTAGCACCTAAAGCACAGTTAAGACCAATACTGGGGGAGGAAGAGAAAGAAAGATTTATGTGAAATTAAAATAATAAATTCAGTTTCTTTACCAGAGTGGTTTGGAGTGTGTCACACTGAACAGGAAGGCCTCAGACGTCTGACCAGACAAAGTCCTTCCACTTTTATCAACTATAGTACCCGACACCTATAGGTAACCATGACAACAGGTAACCACAGCAACGGAGGGACTCACAAAGACTGGTATTGGTTTGTATTTTGATTCAAAGAGAGTCTCGATGGCGTATAGAGCAGCCTTGGAGTTTGCTGTATCAAAGATGGTCTCCACCATTAGGACATCAACCCCACCATCAAGAAGACCTTGGGCCTGCTCTGAATATGAATCAACCAGTTCATCAAATGCTGTTAGGAGAGGAAGAGAATCATAATATTAACAACAATTAATACATGTACATCTACATTAACATCATTAAAATTAATAATTTTTGCAATTAACCATTTACAATGTATAAGGTTCATTTATAATTAATCCTTCTTCCAAATTTTCTTTGAAGTCTTAAAACTTTACAGCCCATAAAAATAAGCCATGTACATGTACATACAATACAGTATATCAATACAATACAGTATCCATTCATTCATTCACTTACTAATATTCCTGAAGTCAGGTCTCTCTACTGAGGGTGATACTGACAGTGTTCTGTTGGTTGGACCCAGTGCTCCGACAACGTACTTGGGTAAACCTAAAGTGGGTCTGGTCATGGTAACCATGGTAACCAATACAAACCTGTTGCTTTGCTGACATCAGTAGCTGCTCGCCTGGCAATTTCAGCAGCTGATTTATTAATACGATAAACCTAAACAATAAAAAATTTTTAAAAACATGATAATAGTTTTACTAACCAAATGCTCTAATCCGTAGTCAGATTGTGAAATTGATGTTCCATTGAATGTGTTGGTCTCAGAGAAATCAGCACCTGCTTCAAAATATTGCTGAAGAGAGAAAGAGGGTTAAAGAACAAGTTACATGTACATAAATATACTTCCTTCTCTCTCTCTTGCTCTCCCTCACTTTGTGTATATTATAAATGATGTCAGGTTGTGTTAGACAGAGGAGGTCATTGTCTCCTCTTAATGGCTTGGGATGATCCTTAAACTCTTCACCTAAAATAAACCAAGGAGACCAACAATGTTATCATTAAG